GTCAAATAAGAGATGAAGTTCTCAGCTAAGAGTATAAGTGAAGGGGGAGCTATGGGAGGTTTGAAGAGGGATAAAAAGATTTGGAAAAGCCACTGTAGTAAGTAGGATAGTTAATTAGGGAAATGTCAAAGCATTGCCGTATCTCATTGAGGTTCCATTTGAGATTATGGAACAAATTTGTAGTGAACCCAATCTGCACAATTTTGTTATTTTCTCTCAAGTGAGTAGAACTGAAGGCACCAAATAGTGGGAGTAATTCAGTGCTGAAGGTTGGTTATGTTAGAACCAAGATACGCTAAGGAAGAAAGGGCCTAGACAGAAGAGGAAAATGTATACTTGAAATGGTTGAGAAATATGTATGCTATTTTTTATTCCTACTTAATCATCAGAGGACCTTCATATCTAACTTTATAAAAATTTTGTTCTAGTTCTTAGTTTTTAGTTTTTAGGTTTTTTTGGGTTAGATTTTTCTAATTCTGAGAGAGGTATATTGATATTCCCCACTATTATAGCTTTACTGTCTATTAATCCCTTTAACTCTTTTATTTTTTCCTTTAAGTTTTTAGATGCTAAAACCTGTAGCCTTGTGGTCACATGTGGCCCTCTAGGTTCTCAAGTGTGGCACTTTGAGTTCAAATTTTACAGAACAAATCCTTTTATTAAGGGGATTTGCTCTGTGAAGTTTGGATTCATTCAAAGGGCCCCACTTGAGGACCTAGAGGACCACATGTGGCCTCAGAAGCTGTAGGTTCTCCACCGCTGTGCTAAGCCATTTGATGCATGTGTTTAATATTGAGATTAATTCATTGTCCATACCTTCCTGCAAAAAAAAAAATTCCCTGTTTATATCTCTTAAATTTTTTTGGGATGTTGTCTTGTCTGAAACCATAATTGCTACTTCTACTTTTGTGAGTTTAGCTAATACATAATAGATTTTGCTGCAACCCCTTATTTTAACTCAGTGTAACTTTATATTTCAAGTGTCTCTTTTAAATTGTTTCTCATCTGTTCAGCTTTCGTCTTCCATTTTATGAGTGAGTTTATTCCATCCACATTCACAGTTATGATACTAAATTTCTTATTTCCCTCCGTTCTATTTTTTAAATTTTAAAATGAGTTTTATTTATGTATTTTGTTTTTTATATCACCATAGTTCCCTTACATCCTCCCCTTTCCCCCTTCCACAGAGGCATACCATGTAACAAGTCTTTTTGTTCTTTGCTTTTTAGGCAGTTGGGGTTAAGTGACTCACCCAGGGTCACATGGCTAGTAAGTGTCTAGTGTTTGGTCTGAGGCTGGTGCTTTATCCACTGCACTATCTAGCTGGCCCCAACAAGTTGTATTTTTAAAGACAAAAAGAAAAAAGGAAAAAATAAGTATAACTGATCAGTATATCAAAAAAAATCTGAAAAGAGTTTCAGTGTACAACACTTTGTGGGCTTTCCATATCTGCAAAGGAGTGAGATGGAAGTGTTTTCTATTATTTCTTCTTTAAGGACATGCTTATTATTTCTAATTTTGCAACATTCACTTTTGACTTTTATGTTTCTTTCTGTTTATATTGTTGTAGTAATTGTTTTCTTGGCTTTGTTTACTCCTTTCTGCACCAGTTCATGTAGATCTTTCCATATTTCTCAGTATCCATCATATTCATTATTTCTTGTTTTGTTTTGTTTTGGTTTTTTGGCTAGGCAGTGGGGTTAAGTGACTTGCCCAGGGTCACACAGCTAGTAAGTGTTATGTGTCTGAGGCCAGATTTGAACTCAGGTCCTTCTGAATTCAAGGCCGGTGCTCTATTCACTGCGCCACCTAGCTGCCCCTCATTATTTCTTAACATATGAATATATTTCTTTATATTCACGTACCACAATTTGTTTAGTCATGTCCCATTTATCAGGCATTTTCTTTGTTTCCAATTTTTTGCCATCACAGAAAATGCTGCTATAAATATTTTAGTGTTTATGAGAACTTTCTTCGTATCAGTTGCATCCTTAGGCTATAATATAAGCCCAGTAATGGAATTTCTGGTTCTGGAGTATGGACATTTAGTCACTTTATTTGCATAAATCCAAATTACTTTTCAGAATGCTTTTCTGATTCACAATTCTGCAACAATGCACCAGTGTTGCCTATCATCCCACAACCCTTCCAGTGTGTGATTAAAGCCATCTATTTTATATTTTTAATTTCCTTTCTCATCTTTTGTTACAAATACATCTCTATCCAAAACCATGAGAAGTATATGATCTGATTTTTTTCTTTTAAATGGTATGATTTAAAAAAACTTTTTATTAATTTATTTTGATTTATCAATAATCACTTCCATGTGATTTTGAGTTGAAAAATTTTCTCCCCCTTCCTCCCCACCACCCTTCCCAAGATGGTGCACAATCCTGATATAGGCTATACATTTACATTCCTGTTAAACATATTTTCACATTAATGGTGTTGTAAGTAAAAATTAAAACCAATAGGAGGAACCTTCAGAAAGAGGAAACAAAACTCAACAGAAGAGGAAAAAAAATAGCTATTCAACTTTCACAGTTCTTTCTTTGGATGTGGATAGCATTTTCCATCACAAGGCCTCTGGAGATCTCTTAGATCCTTGTATTGCTGGGAAGGGTTAAGTTTATCAATATTAGTCATTGCACAGTGTGGCAGTTACTGTGTACAACGTTCTCTTGGTTCTGCTCACTTCACTCAGCATCAGACCATACAAGTCTTTCCAGGTTTTTCTGAAGTCAGCCTGTTCATCATTTCTTATAGCTATAACAAGTTGATCACCCATTCCCCAATTGATGAACATTCCCTCAATTTCCAATTTTTACCACCACAAAAAGAGCTGCTATGAATATTTTTGTCCATGTGGGTCCTTTTCCTATTTGTATGTTGTCTTTGGAATATAGCCCTAGAAGTGCTATTGCTGGGTCAAAGGGTATGCATGCACATTAAATGGTATGATCTTTAACATTAAAGTCATGTATCTATTTAGAATGTATTTTTCAATATAGTATTAAGGTGTTGATCTAAGGCTAATTTTTGCCAGATTACTTCTTTTTAACTGTTGGGAAAACTGGAAAGCAAACAGGGAGTTTTTTCCTAAGTAATTTGTTTTCTGGTTTATTGGGTTCCATTGTTTCTGAGTTTCTTGTGTCCTGTTGATCTACCTCTCCTTTTTAACCAATAGAAGATAGTTGTGATGACTTTTGCTTTATAATCTAGTTAGAGATCTGGAAGTGCTATTCTTTCTTCTTTCATACCTTTTTTCATCATTTTCCTTATTATTTTAGATCTTTTATTTTTACAAATGAATTTTATTATTTTATCACTTTCTATAAAGTGTCCCTTTGATAATTAGATCAGCATAGTATTAAAAATGTAAATTAATTTTAGTGATCTTACCATTTTTATTATTTTGGCTTGGCTCAACCATGAGCACTAAATATTCCTCCAGCTATTTAAACTCTATTTCTTTTTTTTTTCCCTGTAGGCAGTGGGGTTAAGTGACTTGCCCAAGGTTACACAGCTAGTAAGTGTCAAGTGTCTGAGGCCGAATTTGAACTCAGTTCCTCCTGATTCCAGGGCAGGTGCTCTATCCACTGCGGCCACCCAGCTGCCCCTCTATTTCTTTAAAGAGCACTTTGTAATTGAATCAATACAAGTGTTTTCTGTACTTTGGTACATCCTCAGATACTTTGTAGTTACTTGGAATGTGATTTCCATTTTAATTATTGATTGCCTCATGGAGTTTGTTATATAGAAATGCATTCAATTTTTGAGGGCTTATTTTGTGACATGCAACTTTGCTTAGGCTATTAATTGTCTCAGGATCTTTTAAGATTTTCCAGGTAAACCACACATAGGTATACTTTTTTTACCTGTTTTTACACCTTTATTTTCTTTCTCTTCTCCTGTTACTATTGCTAGCGTTTCCAGAACTACCTCAAATCTTAATATGGAGATTGTGTATCTTGTATTACTCTTATGTTTATTGGGAAAAGATTCTAGTGTATCCTTGTTCCACATGATGCTTCCTTTAAATTATAAATAGTTTTTTATGATTTTAAAAAAGTTTCCTCTATGCTTATACTTTGTAGGGGTTTTTTGCATAAATAAATATTGTCCTTCATTACAGGTTTTTCTGCAATCTGTTGAAAGAACCATATAGTTTTGGACCTTTTTGTTTTTAACATGTTTAATTATGTTAATTTTCTATTGTTAAAGCTCTTTGTATCCCTAGTGTAATCCAACGTGGTCATAATGAATGATTTCTTAGCTGAATTATTGTGGTCTGGCAGGATTTTATTGAAGAATTTTAGATCAGTATTCATTAATGATATTGGTTTATAGTTCTGTGCTTTATCCTTCCCTCTTTCAGGTATAAGAAATACTTTGTTGCATAAAACAAATGTGGTGATGCTTGAATTATTAATTTTTGAGAATAATTTGTGTAGTATGTATACTACTACCAATTCTGTGAATCCATCAGGATGAGTTTTTTTGTGTGGGGCGCTCCCCCACCCCACCTTCCTGGAAGACACTTTACAGCTAGTTCTGTTTCTTTTTCTAAAATTGGGTTATTTAAGATCTCTATTTGGTTTTCATTTAGTTTGGGTATTTTATATTTTTGAAGGTAATCCTCTGTTTCTTTTGTGTTTTCTGTTTTGTTAGCATACAACTGTGAATAACAGGTTCTGGTTATTATTTTTATTTGTTTCAGTTTTGTTGTGATTTCACCTTGTTCATTTACTATTTTGTTGAGTTGATTGTCTGCCTTTTTAATCAGATTGGTTAAAGATTTGTTAATTTTATTGATCTTTCAAAGAACCAACTTTTATTTTTGTTATTTCCATAGTCTTTGTTTTCCACTTTTATCTATTTCTCTAATTTTCAGTGTCTTTTTATGCATGTTTTAGGTTTATTTGTTGACTTTAATTTTTAAAATAGGTATTCAGTTTATTAATCTTCTCTTTTTCTGTTTTGTTGATATATGTTTGTAGGGATATGATTTACCCCTGAAGACTGCTTTAGCTGCATCCCAGAAATTTTGGTATGTTGTTTCATCATTATCATTTTCATTTACGTAATTGTTGTTTATATGATTGTTCTTTGATTCAGCCATTATTTAGGATTTTATTGTTAAAGTCTTCATTTGGGTCTTTGTTTTTTGTTTGTTAACTCTAAACTGATTACTATTTCTATTGCATTATAGCCTGTAAAGAATGTATCTATTATTTCTGCCCTTTTTTACATTTGTTTGCAATATATGCCCTAATACATGCTCAATTTTTGCAAAAGTTCTGTGTGTTGAAAAATATGTGTATTTTCTTCAGCAGGCTTATTTAGAAGAAACCATAAATCTCTTAGTTCTAGTTTTTCCAGCAGTTTGTTCAGTTCTGTGTTTTTGCTTTATCTGTTTTAAATTTAAAAAGGGCATTGAAATCTTCTGCCACTGTTGTGTTACTATGTTATGTCTTATAATTCAGTTAATGTTTCCTTTATGTATTTATGTTGCTGGAGCATTTGGGGCATATAAGTTTAATATTGATGTTGGTTTGTTGTCTACAGCTCCTTTCAGCATAATTTAGTTTCCTTGTTTATTCTTTTAATGTTTGTTTTTGTTCTGTTGCATGATTGTACCTCCTGCTTTTAAAAAAAATTTACCTAGTGTATAGTAAATATTTTTCTAGCCCTTTTGCTTTATTTCCTCTATCTCTTTGTATTTAAAATGTTTTTAAAATCTTATAAGCAGCTGCTTGTAGGGTTTTTCCTTAATCATTCTGTCAGTCTTTTTCCATTTTATTGGATTATTTAATTTAAAGTTATGACAGGTTTATATTTTCCTCCATTTGTCTTTAATGGGTTTCCCTCCCCAAATTAATATTCCCCTCTTCCCCTTCTGTAAAAATGATACTGTGTCTCTTCAGTCTTTTTTTTTAAAAGACAGTCTTAGTTTCACTGATTCTCTTCCCCTCATTTGCAACTGATCCTTTCCTGTTTTTTGCCCCTTTCCCTAGTTTTGAAATTTTGTTTAGAGGAAGGGAAAGGAATAAGCATTTGTTAAGCACTTACTGTGTGCCGAGCCATTATGCTATATCTTTTTACAAATATCTTATTTGATCCTCACAACAACCCTGTGAGGTATTGTCCTAATTTTACAGTTGAAGAACCTGGGGCAGAAGTTGGCCTAAGTGTCTGAGTAAGTAAGTGTCTAAGGCTGGATTTGAACTGAAATTTTCCTCACTCCAGGCCCAATGCCCTGTCCATGGAACCAGGTGGCTGCCTAATTAGGCCTGCTTATTAATTCCTTTTTCTTTCTTGCTTTTATTATCTCCACCCCCATCCCTTAAGTACTCAAGAAAAATCTCTTTTTCTCTTTTTCAACTTATTTTGTTCATTAGAGTTTACATTTTCACTTTCTGTACCTTTTTTCTAAATTAAAAAAAATCATTTGCCTCATACTTTTCATTATTTATCTTCCCTTTCTGACCCTTCTATTTATTTAGTTCTTTTTTATTCTCTATATTCCTCATGGAATTAAAGGTTCTTTTGGTTTCCTTCTTCTACACAATTACTCTTATTCTCTTGTTGATCTTGCTTCTAACTCCCTTTTTCTTTTGTGCCAAAATCTTAGAAATATCATTTCCTTCAGGTGATGAAAGAGAATATTATCCTTTAGCAGGAATCATCTTATGTCTGTGATGTAGTTCATTACTGACCTTTTCCCTCCCCTTGGATCATTTCCATCTGTCCTAAAATCTTTTCCCTGGTTCCATACCCTCCTATTCTTGTAAGGATCAGATGCCCTCAAGAGCTCTGATTCCTCTTCTCCTGAAGGGTGAATACTCTCTCCAAATAACAGATCTCTGAAGATCATTCCCATTTTAAGGTCCCTATTTTCCTTTATAGAATATCTCCTTTCTTCCATTGGAGCACTTATCAGTGGTACTTTATCACCCAATCTTCTGTAGGCTCTTTTTTTCCTGAGGAACAGCTGGAATTATTTCCCCTTCAATTGTTATCATCTGACTTTTTTTTTTAATAGAATAAATCACATTCCCTTTTATCTTCTTCCCTTCTCCACTTCTATGCACCCTCCTATTCTGTAATTTAGTCTCACAAAAATATTGATTCCCTCCTAGATAGAGTGTTGTGAGATTTATTCTATGATGTTTCAGGCCTTTTTTTCCACTATCACTTTTCTTTGACATCTGCTTTTACCCTTGGCACTTTGTGTGCACCTAGAAATAAATCTCTCAGTGATCTCTGTTATTTTGTTACAGTTGTCCTTGGTTGTATATTTTCTTACCTTTCTTTGTATTTCTGTAGTCTAGGGTCTTTGAGAAGCAAATAATTTCATCATGACTGGTTTGTTTTTTTTGTTTTGGGTTTTTTGTTTTTTGTTTTTTTTTTGCTAGGCAATAGGGTTAAGTGACTTGCCCAGGGTCACACAGCTAGTAAGTTTCAAGTGCCTGAGGCCAGATTTTAATTCAAGTCCTCCTGATTGCAGGGCAGGTACTCTATCCACTATCCCTCTGGTTTTCTTTCAAAGAATGTTTTGAAATACATTCTTTCTAAGAATGTTTATTGAAGTCCATCTTTTTTCATTTATGGTTAGGTTTGGATTTGAAGTGTGTCAAGTCCTGAAATAAATCAAAGCCATTAGTTGAGGAATAAAGCCTCTTTAATTGAGATAACAGGATAGCAAACTTGCCACCCTGGGGGATGTTCTACCAGCCATCTCACAGGGAAAGGTTTTTCTACTTTAAGGGTGGGGGCAGGGAAGGTAGTATGAGTTAGCAAGGCCTGGTCATGAGACCCCAGTGGCCCTTCATGATCCAGGAAAGGAAAAACACGTCATTCAGATGGTTTTGTCCTTCATGCCATGAATCCCAACTGAAGGGGACAAGGGCATTAGAAGCCAAGATCCAGCTTAATTTTAAGCTAGATTCCTTTTACAAAATAAAATCGCTGGGTCGGGGAACTTAGGTGTAGTTCAGCTCAACTTAATCAAAAATAATTATCTTAAGAGTAGAGATGTAAAGACTTTACTGAAATTCTGACATTGCTAGGATCATTAGGGCAATGGCAAGTAACATTTGGTATTAACAATTTTCTGTCATCATATTAATTTTCTGTCAAGGGTGTGTCATCTTGGGCTGTTCTTGAGTTCCTTTGCTCTTTAGAGTTTCTGGTGAGTGTAGAATCGTTTTCTATTCTTGAATTTCAATTTTCCTTTTTTCTTTTTTGACTTTTCCTTATTTGAATTTTCTTTCCTTTATATTTGAAAGTATTATTCTGGTCATTTGCAGAATTTGTCAGTGGAATTGTTAAATTAGCCAATCATTCAATCGATCAACTAATTAAGCACCTGCTATGTACCATTGTGCTAAGCACTGAGGACACAAAAAGAGGCAGTCTCTGCTCCCAAGGAGCTAATAGTCTAATGGGGGAGACAACATACAAACAAATATATACAAAGCAAGCTGTATACAGGATAAATAGGAAATAATTCAAAGAAGGAAAGACTTGGAATTCAAATGAGTTAAGAAGGCATCCTATAGATGTTAGAATTTCAGTTAAGACTTAAAGGAAGCCAGGAATGTCTTTTTTCAGAGCAAAGGTGGGAGACCATATTTCTGGAAGTGACCTATGAATTCTTTCGTATGGCACTTTGTTTTCTGTGTTCAGAAATTCTGGGCAATGGTATTATTTCTTGCATTGTGATATTCAGATGTTTTGATTTGTTGTGTTCCTCTGGGAGCACTGTAATCATTAAGTTATCTATGAATCCTGCTTTCCAGATCAATAAATTTTGCGTGGAAATCATGCTTTCTTTTAACATGGTTGCCTTTTGCTTCTCTTCTACATTATCCTCCATTTCTGTGTATTTACATTTTCAGTCAGTTATTCTCTTTTATTTCTTTGTTGAGGCTTGCCACTTTTAATGAAAGTTTTTCTATTCTGGTTACTTCTGCTGTGCAGGCCATAAGTTTTGCTTTCAAAAGTCTTATTTCTATTTTAAACTATGCAATATCTTCCTACTTTCTAAGAATGGTTTGAATACATCTTTTTTTATTGAAGTCCATGTTTTTTCACTAATGGTTAGGTTTGGATTTGAAGTGTGTCAAATCCTGAAATAAATCTAATCCATGTGTTGAGGAATAAAGCCTTTTTAATTGAGATAACAGGATAGCAAACTTGTCACCCATGACAACCCACCAGCCACCTCACAGGGAAAGGTTTCTATACTTTTAGGAGAAGAAGGAGGGGGGAAGGTAGTATGAAGTAGCAAGGTCTGGTCATGAGGTAATGCTCTCTTCTCATTCTACAAGGTCTTCATCCTTATCAAGTGTTAATTCTTTTTCTTCTGTCTTGCAATATTTATTCATAGATGCCTGAACTCTTTTACCAGTTATAGAGGTCATATTCTCTTTTGTTATTAATGTCTTCTCTGTTGGTTTATCTGCTTATGCTCAAAGTCTTTAATTGAATTTTGTTCCTCCTGAAATCTTTGGTAATTTCATTCTTTTTTTTTCTTCCACCCTTATAGTTCCCTATTGCCCACTTTCTGACTCTTCTCCCTTTCAGTGTGGTTTGCCTGGGAGTTGGACTTCAGTACAGTCTCAGCTTCTTTTCATGATAGGCAGTTCACGTTTACACTGACCTAATTTCTTCCCCAAGTAACTTTTTGGGGAATAGAAATGACCTGATTTGCCTGCAGATCTCCATACAGTCTAACATGTCCTGCCCTAGTTCCCTCTGTTCCTCACTACTGTGACTGAGTTCTGTTGTGGCCCAGGGTGCTTCTGTGCTGCTTTTGTAACCTGAGCAAATTTCTGCTGTTTGGATCTTCAGGGCACTGGGAAGAGGTGGTATTTGTGTGTTGAGTTCAGTTCTGTTGCATGCAAGTGGGAGAGGGGACTAAGTAAGCACATTAAATGTTAGGGAATATTGTTAGTTCATTGGTTTTGTAACTCTTTTGAGTTGTAGACCCTGGGGACACCTGAGATAACTTTATCTCTTGTATATAATTCCCATTTTGGAGAAGTTTGAAAGTTGTGAGGATCTAAGAAAGCATTTAGTCTTCATCTTGTTGGTCATGTTGGTCCCATCCTGTTGTCTTGTGCTTTTTTCTTCTCTTTGCTCTTCTCTTCTTCATTGTAGGTACTTATTCTTTTCTTCCTTTTAACCCCCTTCCTCACCTCTACTTCCCACGTTCCTTGTCTAGCTCATAGTTTGTTTTGCTTGTGTCTAATCCCACTAGAAATCTACTCTGTTATTTACCCCTTTTCCCTGCTATATACCTATTGGGTCGAATATATTTTTATACCAAACTCTGTGTATATTTATGTGCTTGTATTCTGCCCTTGTTTTGAGTAGTTCAGATGAAAGTAAATTTTAGGTGATAACCTGTTCTCCAATACCACTTTCCCATTTATATAGACTTCTGCTTGTGCACTCCATGAGATAATGAATTTCCCCATTCTTTCTTCCCTTTTTCCCTAGTATATCTCCCCTCTGTCCTTCTGTTAATATCATCCAAATGTAACAAAGCCACTCCTAATTCCTCTGTCTCATTTGACTCCTTCTATGTCTCATGGTGTCAGAGTTCTCAGAGGATTCTTGTATTATCTTCCCTTACTCCCTATTAGAATGTAAATAATTCAGCCTTTAAAAAAAGTTCCATCTGATTATTCACTTGTATTTACCTATATGTTTTTCTCTTGACTCCTGTATTTGTATTTCAGAGTTCCTATTCAACTCCACTATTTTCATCAGGAATACTTGGAAGTCCTGTCTTTCATTGATGGTCTATTTCTTCACTTGTAGGATTATACTCAGTTTTTTCTGGGTAAGTTATTCTTGATTGTAGATCTATATCTTTTGTCTTTTGGAATATCCCATTCCATGCTTTCTACTTCTTAATGCTAGTTGCAAAATCTTGTGTGATCCTGATTGTGATTCCTGGGTATTTGAACTATTTCTTTCTGGCTGCCTGTATTAGTTTTTCTTTCCTCTGAAAGCTCTGGATTTTGGCGTTGACTTTCCTGAGAGTTTTCATTTTGATGTTTTAGGACAAAATCATTGTTCTTAATACTTTTCATTTTGTCCTCTTCTAATGTTTCTGGGTAATTTTCTTTTATAGTTTCTTGAAATCTATCTAGACCCTTTTTTTCTTTTTTTTTTTGGTCACGAATTTCAGGTAGCTCAATAATTTTTTTTTGGCTAGGCAGTGGAGTTAAGTGACTTGCCCAGGGTCACACAGCTAGTAAGTGCTATGTGTCTGAGGCCGTATTTGAACTCAGGTCCTCCTGACTCCAGGCCCAGTGCTCTATCCACTGCACCACCTACCTGCCCCCTAGTTCAATAATTCTTAAGTTCTCTTTCCATTAGTTTTCTAGGTCGGCTGTTTTTGTTATGAGATACTTATATTTTCTTCCATTTTTTTGTCTTTTTAACTTTGTTTTTAATGTTTCTTGTTATCTCTGGACTCTAAGTTCTGTTTAGTCTGTTCTAATTTTTAGAGAGTCTGTTACTTGGGTAACAGACCTCTTGTATTTGTATTTTACCTCTTGTATTTGTTTTTATTTCTCTTTCCAAGCCTTTCCCCTTAGCTATCATTTCTTTTCTAATTCTTACCCCTACAGCCAGGTAAAGATAATGCAAGTTCTAATAATGTACAATTTGATTCAGTACAAATTATACAGTGATACTAGGTGTCATTTAATGTGAGCCAAAATTCAGTTAATATGATCATGCTAGTTAGTCCAGGGTTTTAACATGCCACCATATTGTCAGTCTGTATATGCCTATCATTTTGTGTCATCATGGTACTCTGCTCTATACCATGTTACCAAAAGTTGTATTAATTTTTTAAAGCATCCTTAACAAAATAGACAAAAGGAAGAAACTGATAGTGTAAAGGAGACACTGCTAGTATGAAAAAGAAGAGACTCAAAACAAAAATTTGGTTGAACAGAATGAACATGGCCATAGTAACTATAAAGTAGATATTGAAATGCCTAAATCTACAGTATAGAATGTTATAAAACAGGTGAAATAAAAGAGAAGGGCAAAGTTGCAGCCGCTTTTTGTGTTTTGCAAACCGTTACAATGGATAGAAGTTTGCAGTGATAGAAATACAGTATCTTTTAGCTATATTGATTGACGATGATAATAAAAAATGCATTCCTCTTAGTAGAACAGTCATTTAAAAAGTTTGGGTTTACTTAATAAGGTCGTGAAAGAAAATGGAAATGAAATAAATAGTGAAGAAACTTACTGCAAATGTTGGTTAGATTTCTTATAAAAATGAATTTAGTTACATAATATTAAAATTATTGGAAAGGCAGCTAGTGCCATGGCAAGACTCAGCAGCTAAATACTTGCCAGCTACACTGATAAACAGATTTTTAATGTGGAAGAAACAAGTTTTTTCTGGAAAAGGATGCCTTTCAAAACTTAGAGTTCTGCAAAAGAAAAAAACATCTTGGATTTAAAGTATCTAAGCATTACCTAACACTTGTATTGGGAGGTAATGCGGAAGAGGGTTTGAAGTTAAAACCAGTTGTTGCTTATTAGTCTCAAAATCCTCAAGCTTCTGAGAGCCTACAATCATTGTTCACAGTTCTTTGATGGTCAAATAAGAAAGCGTGAGTGACTAAAGCTGGTTTTTAAGATTGGTTCTGGGGATAAAGTGAAGATGGTGGAGGGAGAATTAGCAATTTTGCTTTAACTCCTTTTATCCTCTTCTGTAATGACCTGTAAAGTATACCCCACCGAACTCTGAGAGCAAAAGCCAAGAAAAAGTCACATCAAGTCGTATTTCCAGGAAGAGAGTGAAGTCTGTAGACACTGATGTGAGGGCGTGGCAGTGGGCAGAAGCAGCAGCAGGCAGTTGTGGTGGCAGCAGCAGTGGGAAACAGCCCAGTGCCCAGAAATGGTAAGGGGACTGAACACTTGGGCAGAAGGAGCTTTCAGGGGACTCCTGTACTAGCGCTTGGAGCAGGAATGGGTGTAATTTGACAGCTGTTGCCATTACCCAGTTGGAGGGCAGAGAAGAGTGGGACTCTGCCTATGTAAGGAGCACAGAATAAATTCCAGAAACAGCTGTGATCCAAGCCCAAGACCAGAATGGGGACTCATCTTTTAGCCCCACACATAAACCTTGTTGTTTGTTTTTTGTTTTGAAGAGGACCAGTGACACCACAGGTGACACTTCTTACTTGTGTGTAAATTAGATTTAAGTGAGGCAGAGTTGCATAAAGTTATCAGCCTCACTCTTACTGAATCCTCAAAGTCTAGTGTCAAGACAGAAGTCAAGATGACTGGTGATGGCCCAGAATGTAGTGGATGACCCTGGTGTCTTCAATGCCTGACCAAGCTCCACAGTGCCTGCTTTAGCTGCCTTCATGGCAGTTGGAACAAATTGTTCTCATTCACCCATTCTGCCAGGGAAATTCTGCATGTGCTTGGGGTAGACATCCCCCAGTTCACCAACAGGTTTGAGGCCTCTTGGTTATCCTTAACCTGGTTTAGCCCTTATACTTGGACAGTATTATGAGGTTGTGGCCACTGTGCATACTATAGCTTTTGGAGCCACAGGTGAGAATTGGGTGAAGGTGGGCACCAAAGGTTGATGAGCAGCCTTGAAAAGGGTTTGGGAAGCCCTCACACATATAGTCTTTTCTGAACACCCCCGTACACCTGCATAAACCTATAGTGAAATAAACCAAGCAGAAACCTGCTGTTCAGTGGCTTGGAACCTACAGAACCTCCCAGTGGGCCAACTGTGACTGAGTCCAGCAGCAGTCTACCGAAATTCAACCACACACAAGCAAACAGTTCAAACTGGGTCAGGAGTTGCAGAACACAGACCAGAAGGGCAGTGAACAGATCACTCCTTAGATCATAGCACTTTGGAAGCACTGAAAACTTACAGCCTCTGGACTGAGCTGTGAAAGCATCAGAATGACATAAAAGATGGAAGCTCAGGCTGGATATCCTACCCATAGGTTAGCAAGGTGCCCACTACTAATATAAAATCCAAAATTAATTAGTAGACTGAAAAAATGAGTGAACACACACTGGGGGGAAAAGCCTGGACAGCTTATGACACAAATACAAAAGACAGTCACTTTTAAAAATGTCAAAGAAAAATGCAGATTAGATACAAGACCATCAAGAATTCCTAGAAGAGTTAAAGTGATTCTTAAGAAGAGTAAAAAAAAAATTTTTTTTTAATCAAGAGCAGTAGAGAAGAATTGATGCTTTTGAAGTGTAGTACTGGAGTAGAGTTTTGAAAATCCCTTTGACAACAAGGAGATCAAATCAGTCAGTACTTAAAGAAATTATTTCATACTATTCATTGGGAGGATAAATACAGAAACTGAAGCTTAAATACTTTGGTCACATAATGAGAAAACAGGACTTACTGGAAAAGACTCTGATGTTGAGAAAAATTGAAGGCAAAAGGAGAAAGGGGACAACAGAGGAGATGAGATGGATAGGTAATGTCATGGAAGGATGAATGTGAGCTTGGACAGACTTTGGGAAATGATGGAAGGTAGAAGGGCCTACCATGTCCATGAGTCACAAAAGAGTAGGATGTGACTGAATGATTGAACAACAACAACAAAGAGGATAAAGAGATGAGAGCTATGCAAGAAAATTATGAAAAGAAAGTTTAGTTAAAATGGTACAAAAAATATCGAAGAAAATAACTCCCCAAATTAGAATCGCCAATATAGTAAAAAAAAAAATGGTGCAAAAAAACCTGAAGAAAATAACACCATAAATGTTAGAATTGGCTAAATAGCAAAAAGGATATAGAACCTCACTGAAAAGTAGAAATGGGCCTAATTAAAGAGATAATCAGAGAAACTATATTTTGCTAAAAGATGCCATTGGCAATAAATTAATATTAATACTGAACATTGCCTGTGTACCAAATGGCATCAGATCCAAATTCTTGAGGGAAAAATTAATTATGGTAAGTTGACAGCAAAACTCTAATAGTGGGGACCTCAATTAGCCTATCTCAGACCTAGATAAATCTAACTGTAAAATAAACAAGAAAGAAGTTAAGGAGGTAGCAAGAATTTTATAATAGATCTTTTGAGAATGTTGAATAGGAATAGAAAGAAGTATGTCTTTTTTCATTTATGCATGGCACTTTCACAAAAATTGACCATGTATTAGTGCATTAAAACCCACAAACATGCAGAACAACAAATATTAAACTCAAAAAAAATTACATGCAGGGGCTAGTGGATAGAGCACTGGCCCTGGAGTAAGGAGGACCTGAGGAAAAAAAAAATTAGATTCAGTAGAGGACCTACGAAGCATAGAATAAAAATTAATTGGAAACTAAATAACCTACACCTAGAGAATGAATGGATTAAAAAGTATAGAGAGAAGTAATAATTATCATGAAAGATAATGACAACAATGAGACAACGTACCAAAATTTATGGAATGCAGCCAAAGCAGTACTTACAGGTGAAAATTCATATAATTTATATGTATTAAGATGAATATATCAATAAAAGAGCAAAACAAAGAGCCTATCAGCAAATTCAACATGCAGCTAAGAAAATTAGAAAAAACTGCAAATTAACCCCTCCCAGTTAAACACTAAAATGGAAATCCTGAATATCAAAGGAGATTAATAAAGTTGAATAAATATTGAATATAATAAAATTGCAGCAAACCCATTGAACTAATAAATAAAATTAGGAGCTGAGTTTTGAAAAACAAGTAAAATCGGTAAGCATTGGTTAATTTGTTTTTAAAAAGAAAACCAAATTGCTAGTATCAAAAATGAATATGGTGAATTCTCAATCGATGAAG